TTAAACTGTTCAATATTATAGTTTTGTTAAACTGTTCAATATTATAGTTTTCTTAAACTGATCAATATTATAGTTTTTTCAAACTGATCAATATTATAGTTTTCTTAAACGGTTCAATATTATAGTTTTGTTAAACTGTTCAATATTATAGTTTTCTTAAACTGATCAATGTTATAATTTTCTTAAACTGTTCAATGTTATAGTTTTCTTAAACTGTTCAATATTATAGTTTTCTTAAACTGTTCAATATTATAGTTTTCTTAAACTGTTCAATGTTATAGTTTTCTTAAACTGTTCAATATTATAGTTTTGTTAAACTGTTCAATATTATAGTTTTCTTAAACTGTTCAATGTTATAGTTTTCTTAAACTGTTCAATATTATAGTTTTCTTAAACTGTTCAATATTATAGTTTTCTTAAACTGTTCAATGTTATAGTTTTCTTAAACTGTTCAATATTATAGTTTTGTTAAACTGTTCAATATTATAGTTTTCTTAAACTGTTCAATGTTATAGTTTTCTTAAACTGTTCAATATTATAGTTTTGTTAAACTGTTCAATATTATAGTTTTCTTAAACTGTTCAATGTTATAGTTTTCTTAAACTGTTCAATATTATAGTTTTGTTAAACTGTTCAATATTATAGTTTTCTTAAACTGTTCAATGTTATAGTTTTCTTAAACTGTTCAATATTATAGTTTTGTTAAACTGTTCAATATTATAGTTTTCTTAAACTGTTCAATGTTATAGTTTTCTTAAACTGTTCAATATTATAGTTTTGTTAAACTGTTCAATATTATAGTTTTCTTAAACTGTTCAATGTTATAGTTTTCTTAAACTGTTCAATATTATAGTTTTGTTAAACTGTTCAATATTATAGTTTTCTTAAACTGTTCAATGTTATAGTTTTGTTAAACTGTTCAATATTATAGTTTTGTTAAACTGTTCAATATTATAGTTTTCTTAAACTGTTCAATATTATAGTTTTCCTAAACTGTTCAATGTTATAGGTTGTTTCTTATGTTATAGGTAATGTTCTGTTCTATGTTGTAGGTTTCAGATATGAGCTGTACTGTATAACAAAGGCTTGTCAAACCCCACAGTGTACGGTACGTATCTTATAAGACATTTTGTTTCTCTGTAACTTTAAAAACCAGCCAGAGTCTGACAGGGACTATACACCTGGAACGATGATATGTCATTACGATTGTGACTTTACGATGTTAACATTGGAGATAACCTGGCTGTTGGCTGTCCCTTTATAAGTCCCAGCAGTGGCTGTAAATGTTTTACCAGTACCAATTTTAAATACATAGAAATCAATTTTTGGGCGGCAACTTTGTTTTGCGTAACACAATTTGATCTTACAGGAATATAATATCGTATAATGGGTTGTTAATAAGAGCTCAAATTTTTATCCCAAATTTGAAAATTAAATTTAAACAGATAATGATTTCACGATCTAAACATGTGAAGGAACTTAATTTTTCGCTGTGTTTTAGCACAGAGACGGGACACTCGGCATATAAAGTGTCAAATCAATACTTTATTAGGCCAAAAAAAAATAATGTCTGTTTAGGGTTGAATGGGCAAAAATACAAGGGTAGGTAGGTTTTTTTTGTTTTTTTGTTTTTATATTTTTGTGTACCGTGTGGTCATGTGATTATGACCCTACTATTGTATGTAAAACAAAGAATTACATAAAAAAAAGGTTCATTTGGAGGTAAATTGTGCTCCATTATTAATGCTGATATTTAGCGCCAAACACGGAGCTAGAAGCCATTTTGAAAGGCAAGGAACCTTTTAAAAATAAAAAAAAAAAAAAAAAAAAAAAAAAAAAAAAAAGTTTAGGGTCGGAGGTAAAAAGCTAGGGTCGGTTGGGAACCCTAAACAGACATATATTTTGTTTTGGCCTTACAGCATATTGAGTAGCAACAAGTGTACAGTGTTAAACAAACCATCAACAGAACTAGGACATGACATGGTGAGATCTTTGTCAAACTTCTTGTATTACTCTTGATGTAAATGAATCGTTAAAACCAAATGCTCGTTATTTCATGACAACATAACGCCTTATAAAGTTTATTTTCGGGGCTCATTTTATGCTTGTTTTATTGATCTGCAGGTCATATTTTTGCAATCACGTTATTGACACGTGAAATCATAAAAATATCATGCCCTTGGAAATATCCAGTTATGCGGTACATTTAGTCCGTGTATGTTTAGGCATTACACTGTGTGCATGTATTCTGTTTAGAGTCTATGAGTTAGTGTGTTATAAATATTTTTCTGCGATTCTGTTCAAAATTATAGGTTTATAGATCTGAACAAAACACAGTTCAGCCCTTACATTTCCATCAACTTTTAGAATTTATTGATATTTAAAGTTCATCTTTCTTCTTAAAATCAATGGTTGATTTTCAATAAATGGAACGACCAGCAGTCAGTATCGGTCGATATTGGTCCAACATCAATAAAATCTATTACCTGTAACTGAGGGAGATCGGGTTTCTCAGTCGAGGGCTAAGATTCTGTAACATAATCCCAACAGAGGCGTAAGCTGAGGTTGGGATGTTACAGAATCTTAGCCTGAGACTGAGATAAACCAATCATGCTCAGTTACAGGTAATTAATTTTTTTTCTCGCACCTTTTAATTAGAAAAAAATATATGCATTCTGCTAAAGACAACAAGTATCCCCCCTGGGGCCTCAAATACATATGGCCTCTTCACTACATTTGACTGCCCCCACGTTAAAATGAAGTCCGTCCTAACAAAGAAGAAAATGTATTTCACAATGTAGATTACATTTTATCTACAACATTAGATATTTAACAATACCAATACAATACAATACAATATATAGACATAACAGAACAATTTAAATGCCGATTGTCAATTTCAAGCCATTAAAGAGCGGATGAATACATTGCTTTGTAAAAGTTCGCGAAATGTCACGTAAAGGTACCAGACAGATCGGACGAGATAAAAAAATCTAGCATGGGGTATGACATGGGGTATCTCTGTCTGAGGTACGAGTGTATAATTATGAAGTCACAATTGTAATGACATCATGGTCATTACTCCTGATTTATGGTCTTATGAATCACAACATCGTCGGATACCCACGGTTGATTTCGCTTCGGTACTCACTCATCAGTTGATTTCGCTTCGGTACTCACTATCAAGTGATGAGTGATTACCGAACCGAAATCAACCGTGGGTATCCGACGATGGAATCACAACTGACTCTCAGTTTATATAGTGTCAATGCTGGGCAAATGTAGATATATTTAACACAGAGCCCATGTTCTAAACGGATTACAGTCACCTGTGTAATGTGTATATCGTTTTTATTAGGTGTTTTGTGACAGTAACAGAGAAATGGTATCGTTATCGAACCAGGAGAGACCTCTGGAGGAACGTTACACACAGGAAATGTAAGTGTGGAGACACAAAGAGCTACTACGTAAATATCCCTATGAATAGAATCAAGACTTCTGAGTCACACCTTGAGCCCATTGCAGGGTTCAAACTTAATGGTAGACCCTTAGACAGTCACCATGAAAGTGTATGAGTGTTTGAACCCTGTCTAGCTATAAGGCCCTGGTTCAATCTCCGCGTCAACTTTTGTCAGCCCTTAACAATGCCAATGTCTGAAAGTAATGCTTATGATGTGCATATCCATGTGACTGGCAGGCACCAAATGATTGAAAGGGTGAAATTTATCGACTTTGAACACTATATATTTATGTTCTTTTTTGTTAAAAAAGTTTTGATTAAAGTTAGCTTACATGACTACAAATTTTGCTCTTCTCATAGTTTCAATTCTTGCATTTACCAACATGAACAACTACAGTGGATAAGTACATGATACTTAGTGTGGTCATAGATCAAAAGGTTTGTTCTCCTTTCTCCCACTTTTTTCTGATCAAAGGAATTATATAAACACTGGAAAACAATAGAGGTGTCATTATAGTCTGTTCTGGTAGAGTACAGGTAGATTATTTACCTGTTCACTAATAGGAAATACTGTGTTAGTTATAGGAATATTTAACAAATATATATCCTGATTTTTGTAATATATACTGGAATTATGAATAAATATATACAAGATTCCAGTTATAACTTAACAAAAACACATCAAAATACATTAATTGAAAACCTGCTTTTATTAATTTTATATTAAATCAATTTTATACATTTTTATTATACATTTACATGTATGTTATATGTATATTTCATAAAATATAACTAAATTTAGCAAGCAATTTATGACAAATATAATCAGTATAGACAGAGATCATGT